TGCTGGGGCGCGGCCATAGCCGCCTCTGCCTGCTTTCGAGCCCGATTCGCCTCAATCAGACGCCTTTTTGCCAGTCGTTTGTCCTCGTCTAACACCACTACAGAAGACCACTTCTTAAGCACCAAAAACATGACTAACTAAATAAAATGAAAGCATTCTACTTACAATCCATTGCCATTCCACCCTTTAAGCAGCGTTCAAATCGGCACTTCTGACAACTGTTCCGGTTCTGCTTATCTCCCACAGAACAGTTGCCGTTGAATTTGCAAGTGTATTCGAGTTTCTTCTGCACGGAACGGCGGAAAAATCCTTTGCAGCCTTCGCAAGTCATTGCACGGTAGTGGAAACCGGTGGCATTGTCACCACAAACTACGCACGGCTCAGGTCCATTCGTGGTGTCCATGTAACTCGGAATGTAGGGTTCTTCTGTCGAAAAGGGTAATAGGCGTGGAAGCAAATACTGTCCAGAACACCTCTTTCGCTTAAGCCACAGTAATCAACCTCCAGGACAGAGCTATTGGCTGCATAGGTTCAACCGCCAACTCAAATTCAAATATTACATCAGAATGTTTAAAAGTATGTGATTTTTAGATGGATACTACTATTAAGGTTTCAGTAGGGGACTTGTGAAAGGGTTCTTTACACGCTTACACGTCATCTGTGTTAGAAAGTGTGATCGAGGGTACACAACCGCCCTTTGAACGACATCTCAGACACTGACCTAATGACACACTCTTCACCGTCAGCTCTTTGATTGGGCTTAGATTCGGTGTGGGTTCAGAGCACAGTGCAGTGGCGATTTCTCACTGCGGACCGCCACCTCATCAGCTTCGCGTTGTCCATAACATTCACCAAGACACTGACTAATACTTCAAGTAAAACAGGATCGATAACGGGTGTCGAGCCCATTAGGAAGTCGGAGGGGGGTGGGGAAGGGGACAACTAAGCCAAGGTACTTCTGCACGTGTGTGGATGTGTGTGTACGTGGGTGCGTAGACCTCCAATTTTCGCGCAGATTTATGGGCCTGCCCGCTTGGTGAGGTGGATGACTCACCACGCTCCAGGTCAGGTCACTCAATGATATGCGGGCTTATGACCATAAAATTTTGCCTCTATCGGTAAGGCAAAGTGATCAATAATCATATTTCAACTTTGCTACTTCGATGCATTGCTAGCCAATCAAGTGAACACCATGAACGAGTCAAGTTCAAACTCCTCCCCCCCCCTGCGTACTTATTGATTCCAGGTGAAGAAATTGACAACCAAAGGTTTTAGCTGATTCCCAAAAATGGCATTTCAATACCTACCTTTTTAACAGTCACTGCACGGATGTAATAGTAATAGCAGGACTTCCTTCTCACACTTCTTTCACTTCACCTCGGTCACTGGACTTAAAAGTACTAATGCAATCTGGTGCAAGTAAAGTGGGTGAATAGTGAGGTATCTGTGCCACATGCGTGGAGGTTACCAAATCGTATTAATGTAGTTAAATTAATGATCTAGGTAGCATGATTAAAAAAAAAACTACAAAGAGGGCAAATCTTTTAAAGAGACGTACTTTTTCTTTGTCGGGCGGGGCTGGGATTGGTGGAGGTGGAGGCAATGGTATCGTGGACTCTTCGTTTGACAGTTGACTTCACCTGGGGCGTCGAGTACTTGGGTGTAATATGCATTTGCGATGATTGCGGTCGTGAGTGCTGAGGTGACAGTGGCATTGGTGGCGTCTGACCATAGTAACCGGGATTCATTTGTTGCGGAATGATCATTGGAGTGTAGGGCGATCTCGCGGTATCTGCGGGCTGCTGGTAGTAACCTGAAGAGGGATATTGCTCATATCTGGGTAGTTCTAGTCCGCCTCCATTTCCAGGTAAACTTGGAGTTGGCGATGAACCAGACATGGACCAGTATGGAAGGCCGGTAAAACTTGGAATTGGTGCACCGCTATCGCTGGTGTCAGTATTCGAGGACGCGGTGGTGACAGGGTAGAGGTAGTTGAATGAAGTATACGCATTACCATCAGCGGGTGTCGGCAAGGCAGTAGTCGTAGCAGAGGTAGGCGAAGTCTTCGAAACAGATGCAGAGGATGAGGAGGAGGCAAGTGACGCCTTCAACCCCTCATCCGATGCTTCACTGGGTTCAATTTTCGTCTTCATGCGAAGCTCCGACAAAGTCCCACATTAAACGCAGCTAGCTCTGCTTACATCAGGTCATGACCGCGATATTTATGCGTTCGGGACCCGAAATCTACTTCAAACGTGATTGGTTGATGTGAGAAAAGGGGTCATTGGTTGCGACGTGAGGTCAGGCGTGGAAAGCATGCTTAATCGCATTAGTTCCAATCCATCAGAATGGTAATACACTCAACATTTTGCCGCATTTTTGACGAAAATTCGATTCTTATGTGATCACACAAGCAGGAGGAATTTAGAATAAATTATTATTGTCCTGGTAAATGAAAGCAAAAGCTTGGCTTTCGCGCTACCTCAAGGTGCGTAGGTCAGTTCAGCTTAAATCCTCCGCTCGTATTTTACCGCATTTGCGCAGAGGTTCTGTCACTTGGGTCGAACTATTTTAGGGAGGACTCTTTTAATCAGCCAAAAGGGGATCGGGGCTCTCCAACTTAGCGTTTAAGTGTCAGGCTTCTCTAACGGTAGTCCACACCCATCAGTCATCTCGCCTACAACAGCTAATTAGGCGATGTCGGAGTCACAATAGCCACAACGACTATCATTATGGCCTAGGGGTGGTGAGTTCAAAGGCCACTGTTGAGACTGTCTCCCCCTGAGGGTGTACGCGGGTCTTAGGCCCTGGTCCCACGTCTACCGAATTACATCACATCCCCTACGATAGACCAACAAGGCAGTCTTAATTAAATCTAAGTGCTGCCAGGTAATGAACCAGTCACTCACGCATTGGCGTCCAAATCGCGTCGAAGATCTTGTTATTGCTAGTATGTTAGATAGTAAAAACATTCAGAGCCGCATCACCATCCTCACGGCGCAGCGGTGCCTACGACTTCGCCTCGGATGGTTTAGATAACCTATTTCACCTTCAATTGGTTGCCTCTCCCAGTGTGAGTGCTGATTGAACAAGTGCTTCAGCCGACGTTCGCCCCTCCCCTCCCGCCCACTGGTGAGGACAACATGGTGGACGATCAAAACTAACAAATGAGTCACGCCCACGTGGCATCCCATCACTCCATGGGGCAAAGCGACTGTGTGTTGGTGCATTAGCCCGAGGAAGCACATTTTCAAATAGAAAATGTGAATGTCGGTGCAGTTGTTCCAACCAAATCGTGGGAGGTCAACAACAAAATCTCAACAACCGAAACTCAAAAATATTTACCTGTTGAGAAAAATACTCGCATTTGATGCTCCATCTCTTGTCAATTTCACCAACTTCTGCTCCTACTCAAGTTATAAAAATGTTATTTTTAATTATTTTGGCACTTTGACAGTTAACAGGTTTTTTGGTGTCCTGGTGAACACACCACTCTGAACTTAGCGAACAGGTTGTCACAAATGTGACATTGGTGAAAAAGTACGAAATGCGTGCAAACTGGGTTGCTTTGGGGGCTCCAAAGCTACTTCCTCTTGTGTCTGTAACCTCGCGGTAGCAGACCTTCATAAGTGTATCATCACGTGTTGAGAATTAGCTGCTGACCCTGTGGTTTGAACTGGATCAGCGCAGCTATTGCGACCGAAATGGAAATTCAAATCGGGCTTTTGCAACAGCGCTTTCAAAATAACAAAACTTTATAAAACTTTTGTCGTTATTTAGGATACGCTTAAAAGATAGGCGATACTCAAAGATACCCAAGTCCTGCCGACATTGCATGCGATCAAGGCATGTCGACATCACGACCTGTCAATCTTGCGGTCCCAAAGATGCAATTTTAAATTGGTAGATGAGAAAAAGTGGTGGTAGCAGATTTGCACTACAAGATATCAGCGCTGAAAACTGAACCATTCAAAAAAATGTCAGTAGTGCGAGTGTCAAACGATTAGCTTTCGGTGTATCTCGGCCAAGGCCCCGAAAACAGCGCGGCAAAAGCGCGTCATCTCGGACCGGTTTTTCATTGGTCAACCGCGCCGCCACTGGTCCTTCCCCCCATGATGAGTCAGCACACCTTGCCTAAGCCCGACACCGTCCCCGCAGTCAGCAATTTTTATCTGTCATTGCATTTTTTTTCGTACTATCCATAATAGCAACTGTTCACTGCAATAGTTGTCACAGTGCTTGCGACTTTGTCCTCATTCAGTTGTATCCTGGACGCGTTTGGTGATCACTTTCCCCCTCTTACCCCTCCTTCTCCGCCCCAAGTCCCCTTTCCTGTACACATCTTCTTTTGATGTTTCCGAAATTTAGGCTCGGTGAATGAAACTTTTACCGACTCCTTTGGTTTACTTGCTTGAAGGTTGTCTGCACGATTTGTAGACAGTGTGAGCATGGAGAAGAGTGGTGGATCTCAGGCGCACTGCGCTTTGCTTCACTTGCCTTATGAGGTGAAGTTCATTTGCTTAGAACTTACTTTCCACTCAATGTGTGACATCTCCATCTGATACAACCGCGGTTTTGTCCACCTTGCGGCTGATTGCGTCGTGAAAAAAATAACCAAAAAAGAGCGCAAAATCTCCAAAATAAATGATTACCTACTGCAACGGCCTAAGAAGCCTCAGAATTTGTGACGTGCAGTTCATTAAGCTGATCTTAAGGAACCTTTCGCTTGAAAGTGCAGTTTTAAGGCTCATGAACTCCGTTTAGGAAAGAGGAAGGAACATTCGGCCTTGTTACATCAACCAAAGGGTAGAGCAGGGCGAATTGTACTGCGCTGGTCTCGGTGGACAGACTTGACGGAGGTTTGCAGTGGATTCTGTACAACCAATAACAAAAGGAGAGTGGAAGCAATTTTTTTCCCATAGTTACGGAGCTCAAAAGGTTTATATTTTGGGCACTTGAATAAAGATTTGGGAGAAACAATAGAGAATGCATTCGATGGATTATAAGTGGAGCAGAGAAAAAGAGATCGGTCGTCCCGACTTAATAAAGACCAATTTGCAAAGATTTTTGTGACTGGGATTAACGTGGTGTTAAAAAACCAAACAAAACACGAAATAGGGGGAGGAGGGAATGGAGAGGAATGGGTTAATCCACGTCCAGACATGAGTCTTCATACAAACGCAAGCATTTACACCTGTCTTCCAAAGCACTGATGTGAGGAGTGCAAATGCGAACGTCAGGAGTGTTCCAAGATTCTGCCTTCTGCCACGACACACA